TACCAATTCTGCGTACATCAAGGCTATATGTGACACCATAAAGGAGGAAAGTTGGCTTTATTTCGCATGCCACTGCCCTGCACTGTGTCTCCATCGCTGCCGTGCTCTGCTCGTCCGTATGCGGGCTTACTTTTGGCATATGTTCCGAGTAAAACAGCTTTTAATTCAGCTGTTCGTATTTTGACGTGCTCAGGGGACAACTGTGAGCAAAGAAGCGGCAGAGTACGCACGCACCGGAACCTACGCCTACGCGCCTCAGATCGGTCCTGCAGATGGCTGCTCTGCAGCCGTCTCCTACTGGAAAAAGGCCTACGTAAACTTTGGGGAGTTCCCACCCGAGTACGCAGATAACGACACGGGAGTGTATGCTGACAGCCGTAACCGCTCGCTCGTCGCCCTTTACAACCCCAAGGACGGCGCCACAGTCGACTGCGCCTACATCACTTGTCCAGCCTCCACCGCAACCAGCACAACCACCCCTAGCACTACCATCCCTACCACTACAAAGCCAAGCTCTGAGGAGACCACTCCCGAGCAAAACGAACCGGCTACCCCTCAACCTCCTCAGGCAGCAGCGTACCTGCACTCAGTGAGCTTGGAGGGCCGGTACAGCGAGTCGCCAGCCAAGGCCTTCACCCCACCTGTTTCCGATGATGAAGAGACAAAAGACCAGAACGAAGGTGGACAGCCCGTTCGACGCCTCTCTGCAGCATCGGAGACTGTTACCAGCCTCGTTTGCCTCACCAATCCGGCAGCCCTTGTAAACCAAGAAAAGCCCTTCTCGTACGTTGTGTAGACAATACCCTCTCGTTTTGGTATTGGCTGTATCTCATACTCTTGTTCTGTGGCTCTTCCTCGGCTTACAATTTTTGGAAGCGTGCCACTGTATCTTCTGTTTGCACGTACTGCGCCTGCCTCAGTTGTTCTCGAGTTTGATTGAGGGTGTTTTCTTGTGGAACGTCTCATATACTACTCGGATGCTGTGATTCCACCTGTGTTGCGCTTTTGTGTTTGCGATGTTCGCTCATCACAGACACAAAAACAAAGCACAGGTGGAATTACAGCACCCCAGTGATTTTACCTTGTTTTGCGCCACTGCCGCAGTCTCTTCAACGTGCAGCTTAGTTGCGCGCAGTCATTGTATGTGTCAGTGTTCGGTGCCTGTCATATTACTCTTGGCCCTCTGGCGTTTCTCCCCGTGCGCGCAATTGCTCCCTTCTATACTCTGTTCTCTGTGTGCCTA